GCAATGCCAGTCTTCACTCAATATTTCTCAGGAATGTTCATTTATCCTTTACGCCAGAGGAAATTCACCAAGCCTTGGAAACTACAACCAACTCTACGATCCACGCAGTCCACCGTATCCACCCTACACGTTTATGAAAGTTGTCACAACTTCAAAAAATACAGCAGATTTCATCCTCACCCACGGCTGCTTCCTTGATTATCATCACTTTAAGGCAGAAAAACCTTACCGCAAGCCTCCCCCTCCCAAAGCCCACGTTTCACAACACCCAGAAGAAAACCACCGCCAACCAGTACTCTACCGCCCATCCTAATACAACAGACCAAGCAACTCAAACCTCACCCTCTCCCGAATCACGAGATATGTAAACCCAAACCACCACTTCTAGGAGAACAAAAGGCACCCAGACCCAGCCATAAGTCTTCACAGCTACCAGCCTATCAGCAAACCAACAACCCGCCTCCCAGCCCAAGCCACTTTCTACTACATCATCGGCGTCAAGCTCACCGAACGCCCTAGTAATTGACACCTCTCCCGATCTCTACCTACCTGACGAACCTTTCTGTGCCTTCCGCCCACTCACCAACGACTCCACGCCTTTACCACCTGCCTGGAACCGGAACCGGTCCCATAATAAAACCATGGTGAACATCAGGAGACTCCACAACTCATTCAGAAGCTAATCAGCCTCCCATCACCAGACTTCACTTTGCCTTCCCCACTTACTTCTTTTCGCTAACTGGGCACTGGTAACGAATTGAAAGTGGGTTTTCTCGTTTTCCCCCACATTAAGTTCTCGGCATAGGATTTTTAGATCCCCGCCGCCCTGATGGACCATCAGTCCGATATCGGCCGTTTAGTTTAGTTTACTTTGTTCTTCACTTTTTATTTTACCGTTACTCTCACGTTTACCTTTTTATATTTACATACCTTGTCTGCATTAACTTCCTGTTTTCTCAAGCTAAGCCCATATTCCTAGACTACGAGCGGGGTGAAGGAGGATTGTTTAATCTTCGAGCACCACAGATTAGTAATTATTTCTTCGGAAATAATTATTTTTAAATCTAAATAACTTCCGGGAACAAACAAACCAACATCTATAGGTTGGTTTATATCTTAAAATATAAACATGTTACACGAATCGGCGGTTCCTAATATATGGTACCTGTGGTTCTATCAGGTACACGGAAAGAAAACTGCAGCAGATCCCGTTGCTATCCGCCGAAATAAATACAAAATAGATAATTTGATAGTTTGACAAACATACTTGCATCTGCCTTTAAACTAGTGTCATCTTTAACCATGACATTTGTAAGGTAATTATCTACTTCTAATATGTAGAAGGTGTGGAAAGTACATGTATGTAAATAAATGTAGCAGTCGCTGCTACATACGTTTTGAATACCCCCCCCCCCCAGTGGTTCAGTAGTAAGTATAAAGGTTTATATCGCTAAAGACCTGGTTTCGATACCTATGGTGGGCACAACATATATAACCCATTGTTTAGCTTTGTGCTTAACACCAAACAAACAAAACAAATTTAAGGAAAACGTATAAATGTATTGACTTCATAGATAAGACCAGTTTTACTTGAAGTATGTCGAGCAGTCAGTTTGTTGTAAGAGTGATCATGTGAAGCGCTGTTTAGAGTTTAATCTTATCTAAAATTCTTGATGTGTTCAGAAATATAATCTAGAGAAAAGTAAGGGTGGGTGTATTAACGTTAATACCAACCCGTTATTTATATGTATCGTGAAATCAGTTTTATTGACGAAGATAATTGCATGATTACGTTGGGATTTGCTGGCGATCATGAACTTTGAATCATCTATCAAGACAAAAAACACCCATTGTTTTAGTAACATGTCTTACAATTCGCTTACAAATATTGAAAGTTGGTGCATTAACAATTTTAAGTTCTATTCAAACACGTTACTTCTTTCTTTCATGATGCATAATACACCAATCATCTGTTGAGTTTACACCAACAACAAATGAATTAAAGTGATCTGTGTTTCGTTAATTATTCAAAGCACACAACAGAGTCTTTGTGACCTGTTATCTAACAAATTATGGTAAACATATACTTTAAACGTAGGATATAATCTCCAACTTTGAAAGGTAAGTAAATTTATAGGATATGAACGTAGAAAGCAGCCTAAACGAAGAGAAGTAAACACCTTGAGAGTAGGCGTTTTACGAGCAAACGTATTGTTACGACAGCGGGGGTCACGTGACGTTAGTAACACGTCATATTCTTGAAGGTTCGTGAATGCTCGAGTGTTTACTAGATTTGCTGTATTCATATATATAAGACCACCAAGAAGTGACGGCAAAGATGGAATGTAATTGAATTGCAGACAGAGATAGAGACGGACAATTGAGTCGAGCGCTGAGTCGTTTGTTGTGAATTATAGCGTTTGTTATAGCGTGATTGTGGAAATTAAGTGAATTTCAAAGTTGTATTGAGAGAGAATAAACTAGTTTTATTTAAGAAAGGACTTGTGTCGCTAAAGTTTCATCGGAAAGAAATTATACGGGAAATTAACTAACAAACAGAGACATAACAAATTGGTGTCAGAAAAGGGATAAAACAAAAAAAAAGAAGATGGAAACGAGAAGTGGCAAATCGAACTACAGCTTAGAAAGAAGAACGAGAAGAGAAATTACAGCAGTTGTTGGAAAAAAAAGAAAAGAAACAAGAAGAGAGATTACAGCAGCTATTGGAGGAAAAAGAAAAGAAACAAGAAGAACGAGAAAAGAAACAAGAAGAGAGATTACAGCAGCTGTTGGAGAAAAAAGAAACAAGAAGAGAGATTATAGCAGCTGTTGGAGGAAAAAGAAACAAGAAGAACCAGAAAAGAAACAAGAAGAGATATTACAGCAGCTGTTGGAGAAAAAAGAAACAAGAAGAGAGATTA